TATGTTGTGATAGAGACAAACACTTCAAAACTTCCAGAGAAGTCTCAGGTGTAGACATGTCAGAAGTGAAACATTTTTATGGGAAGATCAGTAAAAACCAAATAGTCTACCAGGAGGTAAGGATTTGATATAAGGCTGTTCACTGCAGAGATGCTGAAGAGATTTGGATTTGTGCATGAAACTTAGGAATTTCATGCCAACCTAGTTACTTTGGCAAAATATAATTGCATTTTAACCCTTGTCTCTTTTTATTTTTTTTTTTTTTTTCCCCTCTGAAGGTGCAAAAGGAGATTAGGAATTTACTGCCATTGTTGTCTTCCTCTCCCATCTCACCTGAAAATTGCAGAGTCTACTTGATCTTGCCTTTCCTTCTACAGGGGAACGATGAAGACACTATCCTATCTCTAATCCTTCTGGCTGAAGCCATCATGAAGCTCCAGCCACAGGGCCTGCAAACTCTTGGTAGGGTTTTATGATGGTAGAACTGAATGATTTAAATGCTTGGTAATTTTCTTCTGCAGAACAAAGAGTTATTATCACTGATGTAATGTATGCAAGAGCTTGAAATAATTGCTTTTGATAGACATAGAAACATGGGGACTATGCAGCAAGGCACAAGAATTTAAAACATTCTGTCTGAGGTTTAATAGTTTTTGTAGTGCAAGCTTAAACTTTTTTTTTTTTCAATTAATTTCATAAAAAGAAAAAACAGCTTCACCCACAAATTGCAGTGATCTGTATGTTACCTGTGACCTCACTATTTTCTTTACAGAATGCCTATGGTCAAATCTAGAGACATCCTTTTTCAAGAAGCTGGTCATTCTGTATCAGAGGGTTTCCCAGAAAATTCTGCTCTCAGTTGTCCAGGAGATCATGATGATAGGGCCAAGCCTCTTCAACCTGGACCCAGTTAAAACTGGGCCTCTGCAAATACTGCAGATGCTTTACCAGGTGAGAAGGTGTTTGAATCTAAATTAGACAGGATATCTCAGTGTAGCCTACAGTATTTTAATGCTTCTCACTTATTGAATTCTCTGGGTTTGACACTGCTTTGGCTCTACACCAGCAGAGTTTTGAAGAAGCCCTGCTTGAGTTGTGTCAAACTGAGCCTCTGTAGAAATGAAGAGCTAAAGCATGTTAGAGCCATGAGAGCGGGAAGAATGCTTTCAGTGGTGTCAGGAGTGCATCTATTGATGCCTGCACAGCTATGGATGTAGTGTCCTGTATGTAACATGCCCATTCCCCTTTCTGCTGGTGAGATCCCTCATCTCAGTAACTGCTCAGAGCATTTAAAAGACCTCTTATCTGTTTGGCACATTGTGGCTGCCACAGTAATGCTCTGTGATGCTTAACCTGACAAATTCTCTGGGACAACAGCATTAGAACCTCTTTAGCTGTACATGAACAAGGGAAACAAAGGAAGCAATAACTGTGTTCTTCTGGACAACCATACTTTCTCCTGTGGAGATGTTCAAAGTTTATGAAAGTTAAAGGCTCGAGCACACAGTATAAATCAGACTTGTTAAATTTTGTTCAGACTTGAATATCGTTTTGGCCGAGAATGCAGAATTGGGCCACAAAGTTTAGACTCTCAAATTTGTATTTATGCAGATAAATAAACTAAAAATTGCAGCAGGCCTATTCCTCTGTGATTACATGATTTGGAGCTTTAAATCTTCACTATCCCCCTGCAAATATCTTTTCCAGACAACAATGAGGAACATGAATAGAGAATTGTGGAAACATGAAAGACACTCCAAGGGAAATACACTTTTTCTGATGGAGTCCTGTTAAGGGATCTTAATTGTAGATGAAAATTGCTTTCCTTCTAGTTTATACATGGCTTTCTAAGACTTCCCACTGTGGAGCACTGTGCTTCTTGAGCACTTTTATCCCATAACTTCTGTGCAGGGTCTCAGAACCCTTTCTGAAGAAAGCTCTGTCAGTCCTGTCCTGCCAGACAGACACAGCTCACTAGTTCTGCTGTTGATATATTGTGTGTTTCAATGCAGGTGAACTCCAAAACTGGTTTCAGAGTATGTGAAAGGAACTTCCATGTACATGAAGTGGGAGGGATTATTGACATATGTTCACGCTTCTATACAGTAGTAAGTATAAATCTTTCCAGCAGTGCAGAACACTATTTTTTAAATTTAAATAGTTTATATATATCTATATATATACCTACATCTATATATATACATAGAAGCAAACTCTAGAGACTAACCCAGCGCATTTCAAAGGCACCTCATTTTCCCTAGTCCTCCAAAGCTCTAAATTATGCAAGCTCTTTACCATCCCAGTGTTCCAGCAGCTACAGTTATCCAGCAGCTATCTTTCCTGAGATGATCCCATCTCTGGTTCTGAGAGTTGGAGCTGCCCTCCAGCATCTTAAAACAGCTCTGTTTGCTTTGAACTAATAATCATTGTGAAATAACAGCACGAGAGATTGTTTCTATACTTTTGTGTTTCTCTGGATTTTATTATGTTTAATTAAGAGAAGTATTTTGAGGTGTCTTTAAACTTTTATTTAGAAATCCTATTGAGCATTTCAATGTATTTACATCTTAAAACAAAGCTGTGGTAATAAAAAATAATCTGTGGCATTTCTTGACACAGAGTGAAAATTAGCTACCAAATGCAGTCAGTGTCAGAGGAAGCAGCATGAAATGGAAATGTGCATAGTAGGAGTTTCCTTTGGCAAAAAAAAAAAAAGTAAGCTTTTATGCAATTTGTAGGGCAATGGGCTAATTCCTTCAAAAGCTTTTGTTTGCTAATGTACCAATTTTGTACCAATTAGCCAGAGTGGAGGAGGAAGTTTGAGCAACAGCATAGAATCAAAAGCCAATTAGCATGTTACCTGAAGTTGGTACCTTATCACACTGTAGGTGTAACACTTTAAATTAGATTGTTTTTTTAGATCAGCATCTGGTTTTGGAATTACATATAATAAACCCAGCAGTTTTTAAAAACAGTATGTCATAACCTGAGTATCCAGGACATTTTGGTTTAGTTGAATTATGGAAGATACTGTTAAAATTACTCTGTTTTATTCTAGAGGCACTACTGTAGACAAGTGTCTGTCTGCACAGAGAGGTTAGATGCCTCTCTCTGCTTCTCACTCACAGGAGTGTGTAGGAGCCGTTTTTAGGATGTGAACCTCTGTTACTGCAGTGTTCATGCACTCGAAGTCTCATTTCAGAGACACGGAACTTTGCCAGGGTACAGACTGACAGTTCAGTCTGCAGATATGTCCCTGAGCTCTGGTTTTGCAAGGGAAAATCAGCATGTCTTTTCTTCCTTGTCCTTTCAGACAGTCCTAAAGAGGCTGAGCAAGTATCCATGCATCTTCGAAAGGGAAAAGAAGATCTGCGTTCATACTACAGAATGCAGGGTTCTTCTGTCCAAGACCATGCACCCTATTGTAAGTGCAGCCAATTTTGTTACCAATCAGAAGAGATAAACACACTGCTAACAGACTGTTACTTCAATCCTTGGATACCCTTTATTCAGATGCCCTTTATATGCATCCCTGAGGCATGGAATTTTTGCGTCCGAAGACACTGCCTTCTCCAGGATATGTGGAAAAATTTAAAAACCGCCTCAAACCAAGATTTCAGGAAGATGTTAAAGGTAAGATACTAAATTGTATTACTTGTTAGCTCTTAGTATCTTGCTGCAGTGTTCTTTGATTTTCAGTGTTACTGTATATTGGCAGAAGGGATTCAGTATCCTCTGAGCATCCAGCAAAAGAACTGCTCCTCAAATTATTATAAAACATGTTCCCTAGATGGTGTAGGGTAAATCTGGAGGCGGCATTTCCTTATTCCAGGCAGCTTTGTTGGCATAAGTTAAATGCAAGTGGCAGTGCTGTTTACTGTGAAGTGGCTTTGAGGTAATGGAATAGAACTGCTCAGTCATCAAAGTCATGTACTGTTGCTGCTAGACTGACTTTTGAGACTTCCTTCTAGCACATTAAAACCCCAGCGTCTGGGGAAGCAGCCTGAGGGGTCAGCAAGCAACACAGCCACAAAACTACATTTCTCTCATGGAGATGCTGTCTGAAGGGGAAGGAAGGATAGTGCCTGCCAGAGAGATGAGCATCTGATTACAATGCTGCTGTCTCCATGTGCCTTTAATCTGTGGCTTCCACACTGATCCGAAGGTTGTGGCAGTTGCGTTTCCCACAGGAATCGTGATGCTGGCCCTGTCCTGCAAAAGCCGTTAGCTGACTGATGTGGGAATGGGACATCAGCCATCTGCCCAGAGCAGGGCTCAGCTCAGGGACCACGGGCCCCACCTGCCACTAACACAAATTCTGGCACCACGCTTGTGCCACAGGAACCACGGACCTTGGTGCCATGGTGCTTTCCAAGTGAGCTTTCTTGCCAACCAGAGTTGTCAAGGCTTTTCTTTCCCATTTACTTTGGACAAAATTCACAAAGACTCCCAGAGCTACCTTTCCTTCCTGGCTCCTCACTATTTTAGAGAGGCATTTATTTAGAGAGGCAGTGAGGGTGTGCTCTGTACTGTCCTCTATATTTCAAGTCTCCACCTATTGTACAAGCTCTGACAACCAGCTGCCCTTAGCTCAAGTCAGCCTTTGGGCACACCTCCTGAGCACTGCCTTTCACACTGTGCATCACAATATTATTCAGCAGCAGCCTGAAAAATGTAACTGCACTGTTAAGTGTCCCACAGCATTTACAGCCTGGTGCAGCATTTACAACTTGGTGCCTCATTTCTTCATTTTTCAGCAATTTCATGTTTCAAAGGACATTAATATGTTTTGCATTGCAGATACAAACTACCCAAAAGCAAAACATAAAGAAGAAACCTTCATTGTAGCACTGGCCTGCTCCCTTCATAGCTGTGTGCTGTTAAGAACTTGGCATGTGGCATTCTCATCGTGGCCCTAGAAAGAAAAGATCTGCATGTACTTCACATACAGACATGGGTATCATCCCAGAAAGAAATGTCTTCAATTGACTCATCTCAAGTCTTGTTATTAAACACCAGCCTGATGTATTTTAATTTTTGCTCTTCTGACAGTGAGACAAACATATTTCAGTACACACATCTGGTTAAAAAGCCCCAAAGCTCTCAGAGAGATTCATATCATAGCATGTTTTAATTTTAATCTAGTTTATTCAGTCAGGGTACAGTTCTTCCTCATGAAACCTAAGGTTCTAATTAGTCCCACTACAAATGCACAGCACTCTTGAAGGGATAAAAGTGAGGGAATTAGTGCTTTGTATTACTCCTACCCTTCATGTGCATTAGCAGTAGTTAACAATGGGCTGCTGCTTCCTACAGTTCCAGATCCTACCAGGAAAATTATGACAGTCCCTAGTACCAGAGGGAAACTCTCAAAATGAACTGCAATACTTGATGAGATTAAACAAATTATGTTGATTTAGAGAAGCCAGGGGTTAGCAAAGGCACTGCACTAGTTGTGCCTAAAAAGCTTAATCCCCATCCAGGTCCAGAGGTGAAAGAACACATAAACTGGTACTGTAACAGGAAGGAGGAGACTGTAGAAACACAGGCTGGTTGTGCTGGTGCAGCCCTGGGGGAAGTTTTCGTCCACGCTGGCCGAGTAGAACAGGCCTGCCAGGGACAGGAGGGGAACGAGGACAGTCAGCGTGGGCAGGGAGGGCAGCAGCCCTGCTCCGGCCATCAGGCCGGGTGAGCGCCGTGCACGGCGGCTCCTCACGGCTGCTCCGGACCCTCGGCCGGCGGCTTCTTGTTCGTCCTCCTGGCCGCCTCCGGAACCAAGTTCGGGATGCCGTCGATGATGGGGTACGCGATGCCCAGCTCCTCGTTAATGAGCTCGTTCGTAGCTTCTTCGTACCTGGTCAGCCAAGTCGGGAGAGGGGGAGAAACATCCAAGCGAAAACATGAGGAGCAGGGACTAACTAACCTGGGTTCGCGCAGGGCTCGGGCGCGGCTCCCCCGCCCCATCCTCACCTCAGCGGCCGCTTGGAGAGCGGGCACACCAGGAAGCGCAGCAGCGATGGCTCCAGGGGCTGCGGCCACGCTGAGCCGGAGCCCGAGCCGGAGTTGGGGCCGGATCCCGAGGCCGAGCCCGAGGTTTGCTCCCGCTGGCTATGGCAGTGCCGGCCGTGCGCGGGGCCGGGGCCGGGGCCGGGGCCGGGGCCGGGGCCGGGGCCGGGGCTGGGGCCGGGGCGGGCCGGCCGCCGCAGCAGCAGCGGCAGCAGGGCCGGGCCCCGCAGCATGGCCGCCGCTTCCGCCGCGCTCTGCCCGGCCCGCCCCTGCGCGGCGTTCCGAGGGCACGGAGGATCAAGGTTATCCTAAGGCCGGATGGTTTTCCATGTGTGATCTTTGGACACTGTCAAGCTTAATCAGGAAAAAAGGAGACCTAGTCAGTGGAAAAGGCAGCAGCCAGCATTCCCTAGCCAAGGACATCCGGGAACTGAAAAGCCTTAAAGATGCAGTAAATGAAGATGTTGATGTATATACATTGCTAACTTGTCTATATATGAATTGCTAACTTGGTCCACGTAGCCTGTAGCTGAACTGTGTTAATTGTAATAGTTAAAATCATGCCCACAGGGCAGTGAGACCCCTGCCCAGTTGAAGACCCTTACCCTGAGCATGTGTGGAAGTTATCTGGGGTTAAGGAACTTGTTTGAAAATTGCTAACCAAGCATAACAGACTTGGACAGTTACTAACTCTGAACTTCTGTGTACAAATAATGGCTCAAAAAGTCTGGTGGAATGTGCTTGATTTGTGGATTACTACCGAGTACCCAGCTTGGCACAACTGTGAGATAAATAATCAGTGTCTCTCGGTTGTGTAATTACTGGCGTGTTGCATACCAGGTAAGGAACCTGGTTTTGTGGCCAACATGGATGTCTCTATCTGCGGGTGTCTCGGGCCTTGCAGGTGTCTTTTTTGGGTGAGATGGGGGTGGACGAAGGTGCGGTGTCCCAGGAGTTCTTCAGTGTTGCAGCCAGGACCCTCTGCCAGCCCAGCACCAGTGCCTTCTGCCACTTCGCCTCCGGCCTCGTGTGGTTCCCCAGAGAGGTAAGCCAGCCCTGCAGGGGTGGATGGGTGCCCCACCTATGGGAAAAGGCAGTCATGGCTTGTTCCTAACCAGTTGTGCTTGTTCCTAACCAGGCCCGAAGCTGTGAGGATGAGGACACCTTCCTCTTAATTGGGACACTGTGTGGAATGGCCCTGTTTAACCTGCGCATGGTGCCCTTCCCCTTCCCCAGGGCTCTCTATAAAAAGCTACTGGACCTGGTCCCCACCCTAGAGGACCTTGAGGATCTGCTGCCAACCATGGGCCGGTATGACCCAGCTTTGGCTGGGTCCCTTGACTTGACCATGCACTGGGAGATCCCAGAGGCTGAATTTGGGGCACCCACAGCATCTACATTTGCCTTTGTGAAGCTGCTAGAAGCCACAAAGGAGGTCCTTGGTCAGATTTCCAAGGAGGTCCTTGTCCAGGGCATGGATGTTGCTCTCAGAGGCTGGCATTGCCAAAACAAAATGCCAAACCTCGTGACTTAGAAGGTGTCAGATCTCTGCTCCACCAGAGTTTAAATCCACCCTGTGAATATATAAGTTTTCAAAACACTTTGGGCTGTAGTTTGGACTTTAAAGAACTAATGACTCAATTATTAATGGTGGGATTTTTTTCCTGATTTACTAATTATCAATTTCCACTATATTGCCTTGCACAAGTACAGTATTACAAAGTGCTGCCAATTCTGAGAACCCTTGTACAAAGTTTCCATGCACTGGGAGAGGAGATATCAGGCAGGCATAAGGGGCAGAGGTGCTGCTGCCACCAACATAATGCTTCGAGGCCCCTGAAGCCCAGTTTTCCAGGCAAGTGATACAAGCAACCAAGAAGATGAGAACCCCATCCCATGACCCAGTGACTGTGTTGAAGTGCTAAATTCACTGAGGTTCCTCAGTGAATTGGAACACAAGGTTGCCTGCAATACTTGGAAAGGTGATGCACCCCATAACAATTCTCCCAGATCATCTCTCTGTTGCACACATAATTCCTCACTAGATAATGTCTGGAAGCAATGATTCCAAACCCAGTTGTCACTGAACTTTGTGTAAAGTTGTGCACACAGGGCATGGGGATGGACTTGCCTGGGAACATTTTTTACTGGAGGCATTTGTGCTAAGCTTATGTCAGCAGCATGATGAAATTTCAGTGCCATATATCATGTTTATGTCTAAGTGTAGGTGTTGTGTACATGTATGCATTTAAATACTGCCTGTCAAAAGATGTTTTTAGCAGAATTTTCAAGTGCGCTGAATGCTCACATTTCTTCTCTCTTTGATCCCTTTTGTGTTTGGATAGGAGTCTCCGGAAAATTTTGAATGATGAAAGTGATAGTTTGGACTTGGACTTCACGGTAAGACATCCTACGTAGGTACTCAGGCAAGACATGTCCCAGTGCAAAGACCACAACTTGTCTGTAAACTCAGACTAGTGAATGCCATGTCAGGCCCTTCAGGAGGAATGAGAGGTGTAGCACATAAATATCTGTCACATATAGATAGAGCAGCCAGTGTTTTAATTTATTTGCATAGATAATGGAAGGAGGAGATTCCACGGATGTTGTTGAACTTAAAGAAAATGGTGCCAACATTCCTGTCACTAAGGATAACAGGTCAGTTTTATTTTTATATTTCTTAATCCTGTTTTCTTGTTACAAATGTATGAAATAACATGTCTGCACCCATCCCCATATATTGTTAGAAAATATTGACTTCTGTTTTGTGCCATTAGTCTTGGTCCAGTAGATTGTACACTTTCAGTTCCTGCTGTACTTGCTGCACACGTGCAAAAACTGTCAGTTTGTGCAAGCAGTGGATAACATGGTGATCCTTGGATATCCTGATATCTGCATATACAGATACCTGGCATTAACAGGAAAATTCCTAACAAATGTAAAAAATAACCTTGAACAGTATTTTCAGGCAGAAACAAATCATTTGTTTGTGAAACCCAGCACACCTCTGTAAGGGTTCTTTAAGAGCAAAATGTTTCCTGCTTAGTTATGTGTATGGAATGTATCTTGTACATAAAGGAGAAGGAGAAATATATCAATAAGGCTTTATGTCAATATTATTATGTGTATTATTATGTATTATTATGTATCAATATTAATCTCTGCACAGAGGACAGAAATAAATTTTGTGTCCTGAATTATGCAGATGACCTGAGGACCCATAAGGATCCATGAAAGGGCTGTTTAAGAAGCTTGAAGTAGAGCATTTACATTGAATTGATCATATAGTACAATGTCACTACACAAATCCCCATCTGAAGTAGAGATAAGAGTGAAACTATTAACAGCTATGCAAATATTTATTTCTATTTCAGGGAAATTCTTGGGCATTCAATGGGAGTTAGGTCTGCTAGGTTCCATCTTTTATAATAACCAGGTGTCTGACAGGAATTGGAGCATTCACATGAAGAAAAAGGAGTGTTACCAAAATGAATCCATTCTGGCCAGCATTCGCTTTTATTTCTGAAGATGCTCCCAGCTTACTCAGTGAAAAACTAACTGCCATTGACAACTGATCTCAGTGAAGACTGAGTCTGTACACCAAAGCAGGTCATATGGAATAAAGGAATTAAGTATAAAGTTCTCTGTAATTCTTCTTTTAGAAAAGCACCACCAATGCTTGTTTGGTATCTGTTGCAGGAAAGAATATGTTGATTTGTATGTGAATTATATGTTCAATAAATCAGTAAAGAAGCCATTTGAGGACTTTATGCAAGGGTTCTTAAGAGGCTGCCCAGCTAGAAATTGGAAGATGTTTTTCCCTGAAGAGCTGCAAGTTCTTCTCCAGGGATGCACAACATTTGACTGGCATCTGCTGGAAAAGGTATTGTATACAAGCACAGTGTCCTTCTGTTCTGTCTGATAAGCATAAACTACTTCTGACCTGTTCTTTCATTGAGTGCATAACAGATGGACAGAAGCTCAAGGAACTTTGTCTTGTTTTGATTAGTGTCTATATTCTGCCTCTAATCTATGTCAGCCACAAGAATAAAGGGGAATAGGTATCAAGCCATAACTCAGGGATTGTCATATGAATCTTTGAAAAACAAATGAACAAGCAGATTCCAGAGGTTAAGGGGATTTGAATATCTATGAACAGGATTATAAAATGTATCAGACAAAATGTTGCTTTAAATATAAATGGAAAAATTGAAATATAAACCTGGCCTGTTTTATTTTTATCTCTTTGACAGAATGTGACATACAGACAGTATACAAAGTTAGATCAAACCATCAGAAATTTTTGGACTGTGTTTCACAAGTTACCAGAAGAAAAAAAGAAAATGTTGCTTGGTAATATATCAGTCATTTTAAACTTTGCATAGCCCTTTTCTTCCCCCCACAACACACATAGTATATACTATACTATAGTTCTAATTAGTAGCTTTTCAATGTGTTCACCCCTGCTGCTGCCACATTTTCTAGAGAAAACCACAAAAAAATAACACAAGGAATTGCACAGGGACAACTCAGACCCCTCTCACATCCCCTGAGGTTTGCCCAGTGCATTGGACCACCCTGAAATTTGCAGTTACTTTATCCCTTACTTTTGTGGTTTTTTTGTTGGTCAGAGGCTGCAGTTTGTGAGAGTACACTGTGTTGATGTAAACAATTTACCCTTCTCAAAGCGTTGCAGAAGCTAGGTCATTCTTTTTAAAGGTAGAAGGCCAGACCTAGCCTGGCCTTTCTCATCCACAGTGTCTATAATCTAGAGTAGAAGAGGGCTTGTAACTACTGTGAATAGGTAAGAGACTTTTATCTATATTCAGCTGCAAATTCAACAAAGCATAATACTTAGCTTAGAAAAATATCTGTATGTTTTCACTATTTTCCCTTCATGATTTTCATTAACATTAATTATTTTAATGATTTTCAGTTAACATTTGATTATTCTGTTTTTCAATTTGCTAACTTTTTCTTGTTTTTCTTTTTTTCATTATTTCAGCTTTTTTGTCAGGATCTGATCGAATCTCTGGCTATGGACTGGAGTGTTTTAGATTTTGTATTGAAGATCCTCAAGTAGAAAATCCAGATGAGAGCCTTCCCTATGCCAGTATTTGCTATCTGACTTTGTTCCTCCCCAGATATAGCAATAAAAAAATACTCAAAAAGAAGTTGCTTTATGCCATAGAGAATAATGAAGGTTTTGGCCGTGCCTAACTCTGGGATAGAA